AAGCCGGCTGAGGTCGCGGCTTTTCTCCGTCTCCCAACTGCACCCAGTTTGGCCTCCGGCGGGGACTCCTGATCCAACAATGGGCTACTAACCAACCAACCACGCGTGGATAGACAGGAACCATGAAATCAGCCACAAACGTAACAGAGACGAGCACAAGTATGCTAAGCAAGCATGTCCAAAGCACCATTGGTTAACCTATGCTTGCCTTTTATTTTTTTCGGATCATCTATATGTTGGGAAGGCCCCGATTCCCACGATGACTCATCTCAGAGGAAGGATCCTGAATGCTATTTGCCAAGCCGCTGCCAGGAGAGCGCGCACTGTGACTATCGATTTTTCCTGAGGGCTGATTAGTCCGTTGTCGCCAATGCTCCCTCATCGGGTTGACTGAATAAATATCCCGCAGCCTTTCGTGAGAGTGACTGGTTTTGGCTTACGTTGTTTTAATGCACTGCCTTCGTAGTCGATTGACTTCTTCTCGTTCTCTTTGCTGGGACAACAGTCGGGCTAGCTCACAGTTCGTGCTAATTACCAGTGCCAGACGCGGGTCGTAACGCTATGCCAAAAGTATGATTTTCATGCATTTTCATAGGAATTCCGTTTGTTAGTGACGGTGACTACGGCCGGTTCAACACTCGACGGTGTGATCTTAATGGTACTGTAAATGTGAACACTTTAAACGGCGCTGAGCAACTTAGGATGAACCCGATTGTCTTCTTACGTGCAGCTAATATCAGCCAAAACCATTGAACTTTAAGAGTAGCAAAAACAGCTAATCGAATGCATGCCACACGGGAGCATCTTTCGCGCGCGGAACATGCGTAGGTTGACACGCGAATATGCATAAACGCTGCAATAGGAAACAGTTATGGCTGTGAAATGTGGTCTTTGGGAACAAATCACAGACTGAGTAGGACACGCGAATATGAATTCGTTCTATAATCCAGCGTAAGGCCGCATATTTTTTTAAGAGTGGGGGTTCCCACCCCCGTGTTTTACCGGGAACTAATCTACGAATATACAGGGTGTCCCAAAAAAATGTATCCACATTTTGATCAATTGTAACTTTGAGGTCTATTATAATTTTTTTATTTCAAAAATGTAAAAGTAATTGGAAGTATCATTTTATCGTTTTCAACTGCATTTTCACTATATTTTAAATAATTGAGAAAGAAAAGCCATTGAACATGAATGCGCCCAAATACGAGTGGAAATGTTTAATGGTGTATCGATTCCATTGCTTCGCATTGTTAGCAGTGTCTGGATTAGATGGACGTCAGTTTGAGAACACGCAATGCAAAAAAACAATAAAACGATATTTGTAGGTAGTTTTACATTTTTGAAATAATAAAATTACAATAAATACTAAGTTTACAATCATTTGAAATTTGTATGCATTTTTTTGGGACACCCTGTATTTTTAGTAATAATACATGGCATAACAGTCATGCGAACAAATAATTTATTTCAAAAAGATCTTTACCAAGTTCATTTTTAATTGGCTTTTCGAGAGCCTTATTTTGTAAAAGCCACATGAAAATAATACGATGTCCTAGAATGCCAGCATTTCCCAGCATATGTGACTTCTCCTGAAACGCAAAAATCTGTGGGCTTGTAGGCTGCACAGATGTCCATTTATTAATGACTTTTTCCACGTTGTTGCTGAAGGGTGTCCTTTTCCCATCAGCCCCTAATCGTCAAGTTAATGAACCCACGCTCACTGTAAAAGACAGCCTAATTTCACATCACAGGCATGCAAAAACCTAGCGGAGCCTGACCTGCCATCTCCAGTCTGTGAAACACCGTGATAGAGGAGGGCTCGTGTCCTCGGCGAGACCGGATACATTACATCGTTCCTTGTCTCTGCTTGAAGATATTCCTCCTCTAGTATCTTCTTCTCTTCCTCCTTCTTCGCTTGAAGCCGCCGCCGTTCTTGGACATTCCTTAGGACTTCCTCACAAAAGGCATTCCTTATTGTCTCTCTCGCGAGTTTGCGTCTGTGTGCAGCAACAGCTGTGCCGAGCGATTTCTCGGACAAAAGTGTGTCTTTGTGCTTCATGTAAAATGCAAATGCAGCATCCTGCTCCTTACGGATGGCATCTTTGAGGCATTCGTTAGCGGTAAAGTCTGTGGTTTTCGCCATTGATTAACTAGGGCGTGTGTAGCAGTCGCAAGCCTCGCGCGCGCACCAGACGTCTGCAGTTATCGATCCACTGTTCAAATTTTCCTCACGGCTAAATGCGTAGTCCGATAGTGGGTAAGAATAGGCGCATGCCGATTCATTGACTTCCCAGTCAAACCCAACGAGTGGCAGAGTTCAGTAAAGAGGTAATCACCTACCAGTTGGAACAAGGTCAAAACATGATAGTAGAACGGATACCCATAGAGATCCGGGATAGCTGATGCAGCGAAAAATTATTTCGGATGTCGAGTCATTGATGGGCTTTGTTTCGACTAAGGCTCTATGGTCAGTCGAAAGACCGCATCTATGAACCAACTGTGCTGAGTACTTTGTACTTGTACTTGTTGCGACTGCGATCATGACTGATCTAGCCGACCTCGATAATATCCCATACGGTACTTCTCCACACTAAACGATCCGTGGCGCCGGAGACCGAATACCGAAGGTCAGAGAGCCACTTCTATGTTCCGACAGACTGAGTCGAGCCAGATTTTCAGTTGACCGCCTCTTCGTCCTTTCTAATTCGGTAAAGATTTCGGATGGAGAGGAGTAACACTGAGCTCGTGAGGTTGATGATGAGGAATGTATCCGAACAACCTCAGTCGTATTTCTTGGATGGGCTGCAATATCGTTGCGATGTTGTTGCCGCAAGTATGGACTTTCTCACTAGAGACGAAGTCGATGAACTTCACTCGTATGATGGTTTGTGGCAGCCTGAATTCGGTAGTGCTGCGCGTATTCACCTTCTCGTCCTCCAAAACCTTTGTCTGCCCGTGCGCCCAGCGCTGACTCATCCTCTTACCTCTGCGCGCTCTTGTACTTTTGCACTCCCGTTACCGACGCGCCTTCGACCGCAGCTAATCGATTCCTCGCGAGCTCTGATGCCAACATCTGCACCCTTTCCTGATTGGCTGATGACCAGACAAGGCTTCACTTAACCCGCGTGCATAGACACTTTTTACACCGACTCGACTGGTTTCTGTACGCGGTGCTTGCAGCAGCTACTGTAAGGCTTCTTGAGCAGTAAAGTTGTCCGAATTCATTCAGTCTTCCTAGACTTTTGATTTGGGGATCCTTCTGGTGTCGAGACAGCAACTTGCCCTTAATAGGTTCTCAAACAGTCGTGGTCAAATACCTCCAGTTTTCTTTCATCTTCCCCGAGCGTAGCCCAGCATTCAGAGCCGTAGTGAATGACAGACCGAACGGATGCATGATTCAAACGAATCTTTGTGGTAATATAAATATCGCGTCGGGTCCGTAGGCGTCTTCTGACGCCTGCAAAAACTTGACGACCTGTCTTGATTGGGGAGACACTGTCATTCTCACTCTATCCATTCGGCAGCAGCCTCGCTCTGAGGTATTTGAAACTGTCTACTTCTTCGAGTTGGCAGCCATAAAACTTGAGAAATGCCTTTTCCTGATCAGCGATGCAGCATGAGAACACTTGGTCCTCCCACTTGGTGAGGACTGACAGAGCCTAGGTAGTGACCGTGCACCCTTAAAGAGCCGTGTGGTAGATGCGCTGGACCAACACAGGGGCCAGATTGCGGCACGGCTGGCGGTATTAGGCTTACGCTCAGATAACAAATGCTGATCAAGGGGGGAGGGGGGAGTGGTGGCAAGCGTAGGTGGAGAATCAC